GCGCGGAAGCGGCCCGGGCGCTCTCCCTAGCGTTGCTTTTTTGGAAACGTGCTTTGTGCTAAATGACGAACCCTCGCACGGGGCGAGAGGTTCCGCGAGCGCTTCGAAAGGGGCGTGGGTCTGGGGATACACCCGCAACTTCCGCAGGGCCTGGCCCCTCCACTCAGGAAGTCCCCCACTCAGAGATGCTCGAAGAGCAGTGACAGCCGCAGTCCCAGTGAGCCAGTCCAGTCCTCCGCGGTTTCCTCCAGCTCGCCTCCTCTCCAGCTCTGCTAGGATGCCCCGCGCTCCGCGTGGGCTTTTAAGAGTCCGGCCGGCAGCGATGCACACGTCAGCTTTGGGGCGGGAACGCATTCTTCTGGTTCCAGCCCCTCCTCCACGTGGAGAGCTGGTGGGGAAGGGCGGGGAAGGGCTGTGAGCAAGCCAGGAGGCAACCTGCTGGTGCCCCCTGCAGGCTAGCATCAGTAGTGCGATAACCAGCTGCAGATAACGCCCTGCCTAAACGCAGATTTGGCTGACGGTCCTAGACTCCTTGAGCCTTCTCCTACCATCCCCTAAAAACGACGGGCATGGCTTCCCAGAATAATCACCTCAACTGTGCTGGGAGGAAAGGAGCACTACCGTCCACTGGTCCGTGGACCCGCGCAGCCGAATCTCCAAGACTGACAGCATCTCTAAATGCATCCTCCTGATGGCCTCTGGGAGTGGGACCCCAATACTCTGCATTCTTTTAAAAAAAGTTTTTAGTTACTAGTAATTCTCGCCCGAGGATATTTTTTCCATTGAGTTTTAGAGGAAGTGGGAAAGAGGGAGAGAGAGAGAGAAACATTGATGTAAGAGACACATCAACTGCTGGCCTCCACCCCACCGCACTCTAACCAGGGTGAGGCGGGTGGGGGTCGGGGGGGACCTGCAACCAGGGTTCCTGCTCTTGACCGGAAATCGAACCCATGACCTTTGGTGTGCTGGCCCACGCTTTAACTACTGAGAAACCTCTGCCAGGCAGTAAGTACTCTGCATTCTTAACATACAATCCTAGTCAGGCACAGTCAAGTTGAAGACTCCACTTAATGTTAAAGGTTAGAGAGAGGGAAGCCTGAGGGAGGATGCTGAGAGCACCCGTGGGGCACAGCTCTCCTTGCCAGAGATGCTCCCTGATAACACTTACGAGTCTCACCGCAATCCTCGCCACCCCGGTCCTTCGTCCTCACCCTGCCCACTTTCCTAAATCCCTTAGAAAACTTGACTTGTCCTGAACATTGCTCTCCCAGCAATCATCCCCAAGATCTGGAACCCAGGCAGCACATGAGGAGGAGGGCGGGAAAGCCCCAGAGAGAGGACCCAAATAGACCCAAGTATCTTGGTTCGCTCAGTCGCCATTTACAATATTTTCAACATGCCTTTATCTCTCCTACTGGTAGTAGAAGAGTAAATAAAACTGGGTCCTACTGCAACTGGCAACTGATTATCCTATCTAATAAAAGAGAAACATGGTAACTGGCATATGACCGCTACCCTTCCCATTGGCAAATCAGCGAGATATGCAAATTAACTACCAGCCAACATGGTGGCCAGCAGCCAGGCAGCTTAAAAGTAACATGAGGCTTGCTTGCTTCAGTGACGGAGGACTCCAACGTTCCCCATCTGCCGCTGCAGGCCTCTGAGCCTGCAGTTTAAGAAACTATGTAACAAATATAGAGCTAAACAAAACCCCAGAAACCTGCTTTAGTCCCAGGCTTCAGCCAGCAGGATCGCAACATTGTAAGCAAAGGCCAGAAACCTACTTTCAGCAGCGGAAGCCTAAAAGCTGGAGCCAAGCCTCAGAGCTAAAGCTGGCCCAGAATAAAAAAAAAAGAGAGAGAGAGAGAAAGGAGCAGTTGGGAGCTTCAGTCACCCCCAGCCTGAAAACAGCCCTCAGCCCCTCACCCAGACTGCCAGGCACCCCAGTGGGGACCCCCACCCTGATCCAGGACACCCTTCAGGGCAAACCAGCTGGCACCCACCCGTGCACCAGGCCTCTATCCTATATAGTAAAAGGGTAATATGCCTCCCAGCACCGGGATCAGCGGAGCCGCGAGGCCTCCCGGCACCGGGATCAGCATGACAGGGGGCAGCGCCCAAACCCCCTGATCACCCGGCGGCTCTGTGTGTGACAGGGGGTGGGGCCACAACCTCCCCATCCACCCTGCTCTGTTCGTGACAGGGGAAGGCACCCCAACTCCCTGATCAGCCCTGCTCTGTGCCTGATAGGGGGGAGTTCTCCAACCCCCTGATCGCCCTGCAGTTCTGTGTGTGACAGGGTGCGGCGCCCCAAACCCCTGATCGGCCCTGCTCTGTGTGTGATGGGGTAGAGCCATAACCTCCCCATCAGCCCTGCCCTGAGTGTGAGAGTGGCGGTGCCCCAACCCCCTGATGGGCCCTGCTCTGTGCATGACAGGGGGAGGCGCCCCAACTCCCCAATCAGCCCTGCTCTGAGCCTGACCAGGGGCTGCACCTAGGGATTGGGCCTGCCCTCTGCCACTCGGGAGTAGGCCTAAGCCAGCAGGGCGTTATCTCCCAAGGGTTCCCAGACTGCAAGAGTGCACAGGACGGGCTGAGGGACCCCCCTGCCCCCCGAGTGCACAAATTTTTGTGCACCGGGCCTCTAGTCTTATATAATAAAAGGGTAATATGCAAATTGGCCCTAATGGCAAAACGACCAGAATGACCACTCAACCAGTCACTATGAGGTGCACTGACCACCTCTTGGTCCCTTTCCCCGGCCAGCAAGCTCCGATCACCGGATAGGAACAGGGAACTGGGGGTGGATGGCCACAGGGAGCAGGGCCAGCTGCGGGCAGCCAGGGAAGATGGCCTGCAGGTACCCGTGTACTAATTTTGTGCGCTGAGTCTCTAGTCCAGCCGTGGGCAAACTACGGCCCGGGGGCCGGATCCAGCCCGTTGGGCTGTTCTATCGGGCCCGCGGAGCCGAAAGAGCGGAGGATTCTCTTGCTCTCCCCTCCGCTCCTTCACCAGCAGCAGTGTTAACATGTATTAGTTCACACAAACACTCCATCCATGCTTTTGTTCCGGCCCTCCGGTCCAGTTTAAGAACCCACTGTGGCCCTCGAGTCAAAAAGTTTGCCCACCCCTGCCCTAGATTCTA